TTTGAAAGTACATCGTAATCTGTGAAAGAGGATTTTTCGTGGCTTCGGTCCACAACGGGCGGCTGGGGTTTTTAACTCTGGGCTTTGTGAAAGCCAGGCGGAGACAGGCCAGGGGCTGGGGGCGGCGGAGGCCACAGCCCCCCCCCCCCCCCCCCCCCGAGGCCATACCCTCCGCCACACTCGCCTGTCCTGTTCTTTGCTCAACCTTAACTCCCCTCCCTCTCTCTCTTATTTCACTGACAGGCAGAATTAAACACAACAGGACACCAGGTGATGGGATTGGACTTGTTTACAGACACAGGACAAGCTGCTTATGCAGACTCTCCCAAATCAGAGTTTAAAGGGGCGACAGACAGCTTCCCTGCATCTTACCCTGTGTCTCACTCCAACATTCAAATGAACCGGAACTCCCTCACTTAAGATCAGGAATGCCTTCTGAAAATCTCGCGCAGGACCGAAACATGCTCTCATTCCTTATTTTGAAAATGCTTTATTTATGTCCTCTGGGCCGAGCACTCGTGAAATATGGAGGTATAAATAAGCATTACAGGACCCAGCTAATAAGGAGCAATAATTATAGATTCCTGGGGGGTAATACCTCTCGCCTCAAAATGGGTCTGACTCTACAAATCACCTCTCTTGGGCTTCAGTCGTGTCAGGTCATCTCATAAAAGATGGAATATTGTGTCAGACTACTAAGAGGAAACATTAGAAACTAAAATTTCATTTGAGAGTATTAAGGCAAAGATGCAATTATTTTATCATTACCTGTGCGACACATCCATATAGCCACACATCTATATGTCATATTTCCTGCAAAAATTAATGCCCAGGAATGGAATGTGACCACATATTTTCCCACACACAATTTTTTTTTTCCTGCGAGAATGTCGTCATTTCCCCTCCATTGATTCCTGTTTTATTAAAAAGGTGAATGAGTCATGCGCCGTGACCCCAGAACCATCCCGGCGGGGTGGATAATGTCACCCTGCGGTTCCCACCTCGTCTCGGAGCTGCGGCTCTCTGGCTCCACATCTGATCAATAAGGGGTTTGGTTGATAATCACCAGACACAGGCGCCTGCTTTGGTTCTGCAGCCACGGACAGCATTGCACGGCTGATACGAGTGATATTCCATTCGCACCGCAAGGACGTGCGAGGTTCAGATTTCGCGATAAATTTCTTTAAGATAATCAAGACCATCTAACTGCACAACGCCAACAGCTGGTACATCCATCAAAAATATATATTTGGTCTATATTAACCCAAGAAACAAACAGAATACCTAATAAACACTGAACTTTTTATTGCACCGATTTAACATTTTTTTTCTCTGTGATGCTATTGATAAACTAGTGGGGTGGTGATTCAGAGTGCAGCTGAAATGGCTGTGAGATAAACGTCATCTAATTAACTCATTCAATTAGTTCCTTGGCATCTCTAAATCACACAGGATTACATCTTAATAAAGTAATTTATTAAAAAATGTGAGAGAAAATGTCAACCACACATTAAGTAATGAGCTGGGGCCAGACACAAGGGGACGAGTAATTAATTAATCATGCCAATTAGGTTAAAGGATGCCAGACTAAGGTCCTAAGCAGCAGTGGATAGTTCAGGTCCTGAAAGTAAAAATCCAAACCAAAATTTTGTTTCAACCAGCCAAACTGAGTATAAAAGTTCACAGTCAACGGGGTACTCAACTGATTGGCTGAAACAAAATCTTGGTCTGGATTTTTACTTTCAGGACCTGAACTATCCACCTCTGGTCCTAAGACCGATAGGCATGGCACTCTGGCAGAAGTGGAAAAGAAGGAAATACGCAACATGGGAGAAAAAAATGGGAGAAGAGACCAAAAAATCACTTACAGAAGTACTGAAAATGAGGCAGCATGCTTTAGCATAGAGACTAACCGATAAAAAGGGAGGGGAAAAAAGAGGAGATATAAAATGTATGAATAAATGACAGGTAGGAACTGCAGAAGCCCCGAACGCAGCCCCCGCAAGCGGCGTACCTGCTGCTGCGGACGCAATCTCGATGCCGTTGCTACTGATGATGTCCCCGCAGGGCGGACCCTCAGGCAAGCCCAGCTGTCGACTGTGGTGCAGGTTGGAGATGATCGATGTGAGGTCACCGTCGCGGCTGCAGCACAACGGGAGGGGGGTCAGGTCTGCGGGGGGGAGTCTCCCCTCGCCTCACGCTACATCGGTTTGTTTGCAGTCGAGTCACAACAAAGGGAAGAAGTAAAGAGCCCTTGTGGACGAAGCCGGTCCACCAAACAGATCGCACCTCAACCAGAAACAGGCTGCAGGAAAAAATACCAGCTACTGAAATGCATATAAAGTGAGCACAAAAAGACGTCGATCTGCAGCAGCTAAAGCAAATCAAACCAAGGATCTTAGCAATGAGAATGATTTCAAAATAATTAAGAACAACTTACAGCAGTGCTGGAAAAGGCACATTTCTGATTAACTGAGAGCACATGACCACGTCCAATCAATCTCGCTGGAGTTTGCTCCACCAAAGCTCTCCCGGCTTACTAATGATATGGTCCACAAGAATAGGATTTTTTTCCCCCAACACCTTCCACTGCCAGCTACTTGACAGAGGGGCATCTAATCAGTGTGTCCGAGGTCTCCTTTAATGCCACGGATTGATCAGAGTCTGCTGACATCCGGCCCCACGTCTGACCATGGCTTTCTGTGAACAGCGAGCAGGTTTCATTCTATAACGAAGCACACAGTGAAAGAAAAGCTGCCAATTGATAAACCCCCTTTAACATGCATGACATAAGCACAAATGGTAATCGCCTGTCTCCACACAGGAAAAAATGACAGACTACTGTCCGAAGCAATTTTGCGTCTTATCCTGTCTAATCTTCAACCTTAAGAGACATTAATCATCACACTCTGGAATTATAAGTGGTTTATGAGCTTAAAATGAAGTGATTAGAGGTTTTTTTTCATGCACCCAAAAATCATTGGGGAAAAGTTTATAGAAATTCATGTATAAATGAGGTCTACATTCCTCATAGGTCTACATTCCTCATAGGTCTGCATACCTCTTTTCCATAAGGATGGTATAATGGCAATGAATGCAAGGACTAGGCAGATGAGCGACTGTGACCTGAGTGGTGTATCCACTAACCTAACATGGCTTACTCAGTAACCATGATGTCTGGCCTCAACAGTAGATACTGGAGCTGAGGTACCCCTGAGATGGTACCAACCCCATAACGTTGTAGGAACATACAGCCTTCCATATATATTTTTTATTCCTTTTTGCATAATTACTGGATTGTGTGCTACAGGACAAACATGGACCAGCTCTTCTCATTGTCAGGCGGGACATTTACCCAGGAGAGATGCCAGCTGGGGGTATCTTCTGTGTCCTGTATACCAGTGTGATTTGGCATGGATTGGCCAGACTGATCCCAGATCAGAGGGAGCCTACCTGGTGCTCATGTGACACCCCCTCCCCAAATGGAATGCGTGGGGGTGGGATTAGGGCAGGATATGTCAGCCTACCCGTCAGCCTTCATTAACACCTCTGAGAAGCAAGAACTGTCTCTCATCGGTCCCTGAGGTTAAGGCAAGTATGTCATGGGGGTATTTCCCCCAAATCTGATTACTCCTCCGATCTCCTTAACCGTCATAATATTGTTCAATACCGGCTTAGCTTTTTGGACATATTAGAATTCTATCTCAATATGGCCAAGGGCCCAGAGACAGACATACAGGATTCCAGAGATATCTCGATGACAAATGCGTCCTTTTCACTGGATACAGTGAGCCCTCCCTGCCCAATCTCTCACTGTAACTGACAGTGGATGTGCTCCACTCTCTATGGAAACCAAAATTCCAGCTCTACAGCCTATAAATTATAGACCCTAGGACAATTATTCTTGGCAAGTCCATGGAAACACAAGAGCTGATTAGGTCAGGTAACCAGACTAGACCAGCTAACCAGTCAACTGTCATTCAAAAACCAAGCTCGCCAAACCAACTGACAATGACAATGTGTTTGCTAAAAAATATATACTGTTTTAGGAAAATATAATAAAAACATAACATTTTAATAAATATACTGATGAAAGCCATTTAAAACATGATCAAGGATTCTTTGACATCTGACGCTAATTGTACTACATGCTATTACTACAGAGGCAACATCCTAAGTTTCTGTCCATAAAAAAGAGCATAATCCCAGTCAGTTCTGTGGAAATGATGGCAACTGTCTGCTACAGGGACTGATCTGGAAGAGGAATCAAAGGCTGAGCACAGACACGCAGCATCCACGGTGAGACTGCTCAAGGTAATTCTTCCTCAGAGTTTGGGAAGGCTTTTGGCTGGCAGGGAAGTATTTGTTCAGTGAGGGGCTGGTATACTGGGTGTTAAGAAGAAGGAAAAAAACAAAAAAAAAAAATCCCTTTGACACAATGACTGCTTTGGACAGTGTAGAACATTTAACTTTGCTACATGGAATGGTCTGTCAGCTGCATGACACCTCCCTGACATAAACGGCATCACCGCTTCATAGACGTCCAAGAGTCCAGCTGCTAGAATATAAAAACACTATTGGCTCAGTGCACAACGAACACAGTCTGTGAGTCTTCCGTCAATAAAGCACCATATATACAACTTCCCAGTGGCAGCGAAAAGGTACTGAGAGATGCATAACATGACACAACACGCACAAAAAGAGTATATGTCAGAGAAGATACACTGTACCTTCAAACGACATGCCTGCTTTATCTGTGAGGTCGGGTGCAGGGAGAGTCTGAGGCATCCCTCCTACTAACAGTGTGATAATGCCACCCTGAACTTCCTACCTAAGCAGGTCACGCTCCCCAGGAGACCTCTTTCAAAGGATCTGCACTAAGTCCCCGCTGCAAGGGCACAGTTTCCCTCCCGGGGCTAATTAGCGCACTTTCTCTCGGCTGTCCCAGATCGGCCAGCTAATGAGGGCCCGTGGACAGTCGGCCAAGGTCATAATCTGCGTCAGAGGTAAGACCCGGCTGCCTGACTCAGCACTCCGACGGAGTAAGGAGCATTGGTGGGTGCGGAGGGTGCAGACGGACAGACCCACTGAGGGCACCCGGTCCCCTTTCTGTCCGGCACACACTAGGGGTACATACTGAGCTTATATCCGGGGTACATACTGGGCTTATATCCGGGGTACATACTGGGCTTATATCCGGGGTACATACTGGGCTTATATCCGGGGTACATACTGNGCTTATATCCGGGGTACATACTGGGCTTATATCCGGGGTACATACTGGGCTTATATCCGGGGTACATACTGGGCTTATATCCGGGGTACATACTGTCCTAAAACTCCCACACTGCCCAGCAACATAAACCGACATTTCACTGGAGACGCCTACAAGGAATGACAAAAGGTTTAGGACAATGGTCCTCTTTTCCGTTTTAAGTACTAGCCATACTCTGATTTACACTGGTGGGAAACATCCTCACCTTCTTTGTGGTAGTAACAGGCTTCTATCGTCATAGTCACCGAGGCACATCACCAACGATGCACAAACCAGAAGCTCGCCCGAAGTGACCACCATCCCACCCTTGCAGTGCCAGAGAGCCCCCCGACCCCATAAAGGAGCTGCCTGCTATTGATTTGAGCCTGTGGGGAGTGCTTGGGCAGCGTGCTTGGGCAGCGTGCTTGGATGCAGAAGGCAAAACCTTCTGCAAACCGCATCTCAAAAGACAAACAAATATAGTCCCAGATTCCATCAAAATAGTACAAAGACAATATAGTTCCCAGGTGATTCCTGTTACTGGTGCTGCGGTTAAAGCGTAGGTTATACCTCTGGCAGTATGGACGAGGAGAACAGTGTCCCGAGCTTGGCACCTGTCCCTGGCAGTGACACATGGGCTCCAGTAGTGATGCATGGCTCTGAGCGCCGGCGGGGCGCGGAGGGCGGGGCAGAGCATGGCGGGGGGCGCCGGGTAGCGGCGCCGAGCGTGGGTGTCACCGTAAGGGCTGGCAGACAGGGGCCCCACTGCCTGTCTGTCACTATGGCTGAGCGCAGGCTGGTGTTAGCGGAGCAGGGGTGCGATGCCCTCATTGCTGGGGGGTGTGGAGTGAGAAGGCCAGTGCCAGGTGCACAGTGGGACCTGGCCGGCTGCCACAGTTATGCAAAAATCCGGCGCCAGCACAGACGGACATGGGCAAGACCAAGCCGTAAACAGTCAGCTTCAGATGCAGGAAGTTCTTACACCTTGCTGATGTCCACCCAAAGCGATGGAAAAAGACATGTACATTCAGGCCTGCTACAATGTAACTAATGCATTCCTGAAAACCTGCGCGTTCACTAAAATCACGTAGTAAAATACACATATCCAACTGGAAAAAAGGGTTAGGGGAATGTGATTCCAAAACTTAGTAACTTACAACAAACAAAATGAATACAAAAAATAACAACAGTGATCTACCAGTGGCCAATAATGTAATTATATGCATTTTAAAGAAATAATAATACACAAATAAATTATATCATAAACATCTCCTATGGGCAAAATACAGTCCTGTAGGTTAGAGTAAAACAACTCAGAGACTTTGTAAGTTACGCACACTAAGCTTCTCATTACTACACAGATCAGCTTCCCTTAAAAACTGAGTCACTGCCTGGAATAAAGGTCCCTGGCAAGAAGGCAGAGGGACAAGCCAATAAAGAAACATGTAACCAAATAAATAATCAGCCACAGATCTCATGGGCCTTGCAGCTATTGCTTTATGTGTAGAACTTAACTCTTAGTGATCAGCCCAAGCCGTCAACGGGACCTGATCATGCCGACCCATGATAACTGATCTGTCAGCAACAAACAAAAGGTCCTGATCCACTTAAAAATAATTTTGCTGTGTCTCATCCTTTATGCTCGCTTAGTTTCGTCAAAACAACTGCAGTGTCAAAATACTTAATTGTGCTTATAATGAAAATAAACACAATTATATTTTACTGTCTCTCAGTGATCATCTAAGCGTTTTCCAGGTAATGGGCCTTACTATGAGTGAGGGGGGGGGAATCAGGTTGTGTTCGATCCTGGGGCATCAGCAATTGCAAAATAACCACCCTAATAATGCACCATTCTTCACAGAGTACTCAAATCTCTGTGTGTGTTCTA